TTATGTTATCTTATCTTATCTATCAATCTGTCTATCCTCTATCCTATCTGTCTATCTATCTATCTATCCTATCCAACTTCTATCTTATATATCTAGCTTCCTTTCTTATCTATCTATCCTCTGACCTGTCTGTCTGTCTGTCCGTCCGCCTGCCCGCCCGCCCGCCCGCTCCATCCATCCATCCATCCATCTTATCTATCTATCTATCTATCTATCTATCTATCTATCTATCTATCTATCTATCTAATCTATCAATCTGTCTATCCTCTATCCTTCCTGTCTGTCTGTCTGTCTATCTATCTATCTATCTATCTATCTATCTATCTATCTATCTATCATCTATCTATCTATCTATCTATCTATCTATCTATCCTGTCTGTCTGTCTATCTATCTATCTATCTATCTATCTATCTATCTATCTATCTATCTATCTATCTATCTATCTATCTATCTTTCTATCTATCTTTCTATCTATCTTATCTTATGTTATCTTATCTTATCTATCAATCTGTCTATCCTCTATCCTATCTGTCTATCTATCTATCTATCCTATCCAACTTCTATCTTATATATCTAGCTTCCTTTCTTATCTATCTATCCTCTGACCTGTCTGTCTGTCTGTCCGCCCGCCCGCCCATCCATCCATCCATCCATCTTATCTATCTATCTATCTATCTATCTATCTATCTATCTATCTATCTATCAGTTTGTCTATCCTCTATCCTTCCTGTCTGTCTGTCTATCTATCTATCTATCTATCTATCTATCTATCTATCTATCTATCTCTATCTCTCTTATCTGTCCATCTATCTATCCTATCTTTCTTATCTATCTATCTATCTATCTATCTATCTATCTCTATCTATCTATCTATCTATCTATCTATCTATCTATCTATCTATCTATGGTATCTTCCTTATCTATCTGTCTATCTATCTATCTATCTATCTATCTATCTATCTATCTATCTTATCTATCCATCTGTCTATTATAGCTATCTTTCTTTCCTATCTATCTATCTATCTATCTTATCTATACAATTATCCTATCTGTATCTCTCTCTCTCTGTCTGTCCTGTCTATCTATCTATCTATCTATCTATCTATCTATCTATCTATCTATTTTCTTTCTTTCTTTCTTTGCTATCTATCTATCATCTATCTATCCTCTGTCTATCCTATCTATCTATCTATCTATCTATCTATCTATCTATCTATCTATCTATCTATCTATCTGTCTGTCTGTCTGTCTGTCTGTCTGTCTGTCTATCTATCTATCTATCTATCTATCTATCTATCTATCTATCTATCTATCCTTTTATCTTATCTTATCTTATGTTATCTTATCTTATCTATCAATCTGTCTATCCTCTATCCTATCTGTCTATCTATCTATCTGTCCTATCCAACTTCTATCTTATATATCTAGCTTCCTTTCTTATCTATCTATCCTCTGACCTGTCTGTCTGTCTGTCCGTCCGCCCGCCCATCCATCCATCCATCCATCTTATCTATCTATCTATCTATCTATCTATCTATCTATCTATCTATCTATCTATCTATCTATCTATCTATCTATCTATCTAATCTATCAATTTGTCTATCCTCTATCCTTCCTGTCTGTCTGTCTGTCTATCTATCTATCTATCTATCTATCTCTATCTCTCTTATCTGTCCATCTATCTATCCTATCTTTCTTATCTATCTATCTATCTATCTATCTATCTATCTATCTATCTCTATCTATCTATCTATCTATCTATCTATCTATCTATGGTATCTTCCTTATCTATCTATCTATCTATCTATCTATCTATCTTATCTATCCATCTGTCTATTATAGCTATCTTTCTTTCCTATCTATCTATCTATCTATCTATTCTTATCTATACAATTATCCTATCTGTATCTCTCTCTCTCTGTCTGTCCTGTCTATCTATCTATCTATCTATCTATCTATCTATCTATCTATCTATTTTCTTTCTTTCTTTCTTTGCTATCTATCTATCATCTATCTATCCTCTGTCTATCCTATCTATCTATCTATCTATCTATCTATCTACTATCTATCTATCTTCTATCACTGTATCTATCTATCTATCTATCTATCTATCTATCTATCCTATCTATCCTTTTATCTTATCTTATCTTATCTTATCTTATCTATCAATCTGTCTATCCTCTATCCTATCTGTCTATCTATCTATCTATCCTATCCAACTTCTATCTTATATATCTAGCTTCCTTTCTTATCTATCTATCCTCTGACCTGTCTGTCTGTCTGTCCGTCCGCCTGCCCGCCCGCCCGCCCGCCCGCTCATCCATCCATCCATCCATCCATCCATCCATTCCATCCATCCATCCATCATCCATCCATCCATCTATCTATCGATCTATCTATCTATCTATCTATCTATCTATCTATCTATCTATCTATCTATCTATCTATCTCTATCTATCTGGAGGGTTTGTCTGTCTGTCTCTCTCTCTCTCTCTCTCTCTCTCTTATCTATCTGTCTATCTTATCTACCTACCCTTATCAATCTTTCCTATCTATCCACACACATGCTTCTTGAAATGTGGGGTGGCGCATGCTTTGCGATGCCTTTGGTGCTCGCCTTGGGGGAGACAAGCAGGGCGAGGAAGAGGAGGAGGAGGGGGGGGTGGAGGGGGCCGGTGGAAAAAAAGGGGGCGAACGGGGAGAAAAGAGGGAAGACAGGCCGGGCCTTTGTGTCCTGCACATTCCTGGGAGACGGGATCGGAATACTTATCAGGCCTGCATTCACTTCTCTCTGGGCAAAGCTGAAAAGCTCACAAGACCCCGGCTTAACCTTCCTTTCAGCCGGGTTTCGCTCATTGTCACTTGGGGACAGCCAAGTTCCCCGGGCTCCAGGGAGGAGAGGAGGAGGAAGGAAGGAAGGAGGGAAGGAAGGAAGGAAAGAAGGAGGCAAGGAGAGAAGCGAAAGGGAAGCAGAGGGGGAATGGGTGTCGTGGTCTGTTGTATTCAATTAAGTTTGCTGTGGCATCTATTGACAAGCCCCCCTTGCAAGCATGGGCAAACTTGGGCCCTCCAGGTGTTTTGGACTCCAACTCCCACAATTCCTAACAGCCTACCGGCTGTTAGGAATTGTGGAAGTTGAAGTCCAAAACACCTGGAGGGCCCAAGTTTGCCCATGCCTGATGTAGACCTTGGAGCAAACCCCTTGGATACTTTTTTTTTTTTTTTTTTTTTTTTTTTTCTAAAACGCATGTGTGTAACAAAGTAGAAGTTTGTTGCAATACGTTAGGTTTGCTTTTATTTGCTTTTGATGACTGTGTTTCTGTATTAATACCAAGTCAATAAAGAGTTTATGTATGGTGTCGTATAGGCTATAATATTAAACCTCTTTTTTAATAGTAAGTCTCAAACAACCAGAAAACTACATTCATGTGGTATCTGCCAATCCTCATTGGTTTCGGTTAACTGAGAGTCTACTGTGAGTGTGCATGTGAGCACACATGTGTGTGCGAGTCTATGTGTGTGTTTGTATGTGTATATATATATATATATATGTGTGTGTGTGTGTGTGTGTATGTACATATGTGTGTATGTGTGTGTATTTGTATATATGTGTGTGTGCGTGTGGGTGTATGTGTGTGTATTTATGTGTGCATGTGTGTATATATGTTTGTGTATGTGTATATATGTATATGTATGTGTGTGTGTTTGTATGTGTATAGATTCATGTTTATATGTGTGTATATATGTGCATGTGTTCGTGTGTATAAATATGTGTGTATGTATGTGTTTTTATATGTGTGTGTATATATGCAAGTGTACATGTGTATGTATGTATATATGTATATGTGTATATATGCATATGCATGTATGTATGCACTTATGTATATGTGTGTATTATATGTGTATACATGTGTGTATGTGTTTTATATGTGTGCATGTATGTGGAGATATGCAAGTGTGCATGTATGTATAAATGTTTCTGTATGTATGTAATGTGTGTATGTATTACGCATATATATTCATTTGTGTATATGTGTGCATGTGTGTGTATGTATGAGTGTATATGTGTGTGTGTTTGTTTAAATGTGTGTATGTGTGGGTGTACGTATGTGTTTTTATATGCGTATGTATATATGCGAGTGTGCATGTGTGTATATATGTTTGTGTATGTATGTGTATATATGCATGTGTGTGTGTGATTTGCAAACAATACTAAAAATCAAGTTGAGCACCCTTTGTCCAGGAATCTGAAACCGTCCACTTTGGTGGCTGAGAGAGTGTGACCCCTTTGCTTTCTGATGGGTCAGTGAACCCATGCACAAAAGTGTTTCAAACATTGTATATCTCCAGGATAGATCTGTATATGAAACCTATGCGCATTTCATGCTTAGACCTGGTTCCCATCAAAATAGATAAGATTATCTTCTCTATCTTTTATTTTCTCTGTCCTACCTCTCTCTCTTGTCTCTATCTTTGAGAGATAGATAGATAGATACAGAACATAGGAAGATAGAGAAGATAGATAGCTAGGATAAAGATGGAGAAGATAGAGAGACAAAAGAGAGAAATAGGATAGAGAAGATGGATAGATAAGCTAAATATAGAGAAGATAGAGTAGATAGGTGGGGTAGGTAGATAGACTAGAGTAGATAGATAAGACACATCAGCAATTGGTATGTTCTTCTCCCAAGTTTGGCCAAGACATGGGCAAACTTGGGCCTTCCTCCAGGTGTTTTGGACTCCAACTCCCACAATTCCTAACAGCCGGTAGGCTGTTAGGAATTGTGGGAGTTAGAGTCCAAAACACCTGGAGGAAGGCCCAAGTTTGCCCATTCCAGGGTTAGTAGGAGCATCATGCAAATGAATGAAAGAGGCATGCAAATGGGACTGGGAGTGGAGTCATAAAATAGATGGTGAGAAAACATGTGAGATTGTTAATTCCACGACAACTTGCAGTGCGATGTCTCTGATGGTGGAACTCTTTGTCTTCCTCTTCCAGCGTCCGGACGGAGAAGCTTGAACCCGCTGTTGACGGAGCTCTTCGAACAGCACCTGGGTGGCCACATCCTGCAGGTGAGTTGTCTCTTAAAGGGGCAATTTTAAACCCTGACAGGTCACAGGTTCAAATCTGGGGAGAGCGTGGGTAAGCTCTCTCTGTCAGCTCCAGCTCCCCTACAGGGACATGAGAGAAACCTCCCACAAGGGTGGTATTATTTCAAATATTTGTACCCCGCCCTTCTCTACCCCTGGAGGTGATGAGCTGTCCCTGATTGTTTCTTGTCTGGAGTTCCCCTGTGTTTGAGTTTTGTGTTATAATTTTAGCGTTTTTGAATACAGGTAGCCAGATTTTGTTCATTTTCATGGTTTCTTCCTTTCTGTTGAAATTGTCCACACGCTTGTGGATTTCAATGGCTTCTCTGTGTCGCCTAATATGGTAGTTGTTTCCCTAGTTTCCAACAGACCTCACCACCTCTGAGGATGCCTGCCATAGATGCAGGCGAAACGTCAGGAGAGAATGCTTCTAGAACATGGCTCCAGCAGACAAGGGTCCTTTGCCCCACCCTGGTCATTCCACAGATACATAAACCCTTTCTCCTAGTTCCAATAGACCTCACTGCCTCTGAGGATGCCTGCCATAGATGTAGGCGAAACGTCAGGAGAGAATGCTTCTAGAACATGGTTCCAGCAGATAAGAGTCCTTTGTCTCACCCTGGTCATTCCACAGATATATAAACCCATTTTCCTAGTTCCAATAGACCTCACTACCTCTGAGGATGCTTGCCATAGATGCAGGCGAAACATCAGGAGAGAATGCTTCTAGGACATGGTCATACCGCCCGAAAAACCTACAACAACCCAGTGATTCCGGCCATGAAAGCTTTCAACAATACATAGGATGACGTAATTTGTTTCATTTCAAATCCTGACATGCCCGACTTGGCTGGTGCCACCTGTGTGATCCTAAAGATGCCACCTTGAAGAAAGGTAGGCAGATGCAACCATTGGGACGCAGCCACTTCCCTTTTCTCGAAAAAACCCGATAGCAAGTGCAACTCAGGAGCCGTGACATCGCCGGCAAAGCAGACTTACCGGGCTAATTATTTCTCAAGCGCCCTCATTAGGCCCGTCTCGGGGGACCTTGCGCTAATTATCAGAAGTGGCAAATGCTGATGCTTTAAGTGGCAATGTATCAATCGCCGACCAATGCTGGATCGACCATGAACTACAGAGACAATGACTCTTGTTGGTCCCACTCCTCTTATCACCACCATTTGGTGTATTTACAAGGAGAATATTTAGAAATATTCAATTGCAAACCTTGGGTTGCCAGGCTGCTTCACCAAATCAGGTAGTCCCACACAGCCATATAACCCAGAATATCAAGGGAGATAGCTGTTGCACTCCAGGACAGGAAAAGCCCTCGGACTGTAAACACCACACCGTTGATTGGAAAACATTCCTTTTATTGAAAACTAGCTTGGGGTCCCGGCACTGCCCGGGTAATTTGAGAAAGGCATTGTGCGGCAAGGTTGGTCTTTATCAGTTATTTTTGTGGCTCGCAGAGCTCTCAGGAATTTAGTGAAGGTACTTTGAGTCCCATCGTCCATGGTCCATCCTCCTCCAAAAAGCACCAGCATGTAGAGTGGGTCATGTGGGCTCTGTGTGCCAAGTTTGGTCTTGATCAGTTATTGGATGAGGGTCACAGAGGTCTCGGGAAGCGAGTGGAAGTACTTAAAGTCCCATAGAAACTGCATCAGGATGTAGAGTGGGTCATGGGGGCTCTGTGTGCCAAGTTTGGTCTTGATCAGTCATTGGATGAGTGTAACAAAGGTCTCGGGAAGCGAGTGGAGGTACTTAAAGTCCCATCATCTATGGTCCATCCTCCTCGAAACTGCACCAGGGTGTAGAGTGGGTCATGGGGGCTCTGTGTGCCAAGTTTGGTCTTTATCGGTCATTGGATGAGGGTTGCAGCGGTCTCAGAAAGTGAGTGGATGTACTGCAAGTTCCATCATCCATGACCCACCCTCCTCCGAACAGCAGTAGGATGTAGAGTGGGTCATGGGGGCTCTGTGTGCCAAGTTTGGTCTTTATTGGTCTTTGTTGGGGGGCACAGTAGTCTGTGGGAACAGAAGGGTGGGAAAGTACTACAAATCCCATCATCCATTGTCCATCCTCCCCCAATCCTCACCAAGATATAAAGAGGGTCATGGGGGTTATGTGTGCCAAGTTTGGTCCAGGTCCGTCACCCGTGCTGGTCACACAAACACTGACTTTTATTATATACATAGATAGATAATTAAAAAGCAGCAAGTAAAAAGCACTTTAAAGAAATAGGTAAATCCAATTAGGTAAGAAGATAAGCAGGAGCAAAAATAGTCCAGGGTCAAGTTCAACAAAGTCCACACTTCTCTAATATAATTCAGGGAAACAGGAAACATTAATCCAAGGCATGAGTAGGCATTCATATACTCCAAGAGTCCAAACCATGAACGAGAAATACTTAGACAAGAATCTTCCAAGCAAAGCTTCCATGAAACAAAGGACAAGAACTACACTTGAATCCAACAATGCTTTGTCTGACTATATTTCCAACACTTGGAACTTTTATCCACTCGTAAAGCTATTCTGCGCACTCAGGAATTGGTTTCGTTTTACTTGAGATCCCCTTATCTTGGAATATAATGTATATATATTCAATTTGTGTGTGTGTGTGTGTGGAATATATTGGAATCTCTCTCTTTATATATATGATTGCAGATTTGTTTCCTTTCCATTATGACACCCAAAAACTATACACATACATACACATGAGAGAGGGAGAGATTCCAATATATTCCCCACACACACATAAATGGGATATATTGGAATATATACTAGTATACAGTATATTCCAATAAATTCCTCCCTCTCTCTCTATACACACACATGTATGTATATGTATGTGTGTATATGTGTGTGTGTATGTGTGCCGATGTGTGTGTTTCTGTAGAGAGAGAGAGAGTTGAAAATTTGTTTCCCTTTCAAGACAAATTTATACACACACACACACACACACAGAAGGTGACCCAAAAGTTTCCATAAATAGAAAAATTTACCGAACACATATTTTGTATCTTTAACTATTAGAAGGGAATTTTTTGTTGTGTGTATAAAGGCAACCAACTCAAAGATGATATTTTGTAAGCTTTTACAATGAATACTTTGTAAATAAAGGTGCATTTAGCAGCAGCAACAACAACAAAAAAGAGATTCCCTTATCTTTTTCTGCCGGAGCCTGGCAGACCGCTGAAGGCACTGTTCGGCCTGTCTGTTTTGACTAATTTCCTATCTATTTGCTCATTAAGTCTTGCAGCTGGGCCAGGTGCCTAGTTGTTTTCAAGCCCCAAATCCTGGGAATCCTCAGGGAGTACACTATCATCCCAACACCCTTCAGGGACATTCTCATGGGAAACTATACTTTGCAGTCTCCTGGTCCTTCTCAGCATCAGTATCATTGACCAAACCATTGCCATCTTGAAATTCATTGGCATCACTTCCCACATCCAAAGCACCCTGATCCTGAAACACAATCACAGGCTGAACAACAATAACCCTCAATAGGGGCCTCCGGTGGTGCAGTGGGTTAAACCGCTAAGCTGATGAACATGCCGATCGAAGAATCTCAGGTTTGAATCCGAGGAGCAGTGTGAGCTCCTGCTGTTAGCTCCAGCTTCTGCCAACCTATCAGTTTGAACACATGCAAATGTGAGTAGATCAATAGGTAAATGTTGGAGCCCCCGGTGGCGCAGTGGGTTAAACCGCTGAGCTGATGAACATGCTAATTGAAGAATCTCAGGTTTGAATCTGGGAAGCGGTGTGAGCTCCTGCTGTTAGCTCCAGCTTCTGCCAACCTATCCGTTCGAACACATGCAAATGTGAGTAGATCAATAGGTAAACATTGGAGCCCCCGGTGGCGCAGTGGGTTAAACCACTGAGCTGCTGAACGTGCTGATCAAAGAATCTCAGGTTTCAATCTGGGGAGCAGTGTGAGCTCCTGCTGTTAGCTCCAGCTTCTGCCAACCTATCCGTTTGAACACATGCAAATGTGAGTAGATCAATAGGTAAACGTTGGAGCCCCCAGTGGCGCAGTGGGTTAAACCCCTGTGCTGGCAGGACTGAAGGTTCAAATCCAGGGAGAGGCGGAAGAGCTCCCTCTATCAGCTCCAGCTCCTCATGCAGGGACATGAGAGAAGCCTCCCTTTAGCCCTCCGCGTGTTTTGGACTCCAACTCCCACAATCCCTAACACCTGGAGGAAGGCTCAAGATTTCAGCATTGGTAGGGACCTCCAAAGGCCATCAAGTCCAACTGTGCTGGAATGGCTGTACCAGGAGCTTCAGCTTTATTTTCTTTCTGGTATCTTTTTGCAGTCATAGGGCAGGCCTCCTGTCCATCATAATTAAGCTTTGGTTCCGCCCCTTGTTCTGGGCTCTGGGAGGGAAAGGAGCCATTTTTTGGGAAGTCTCTCATAAGGAAGCTAAGCTATAGGATGTAGACCAGCTCATCCCGTAGAAAAGCTTCTTTTCCCAAGAACTATCCAGGGAAAAAGGAGCATCCAGGGAACTTAACCATCCAGGGAAAAAGTAACATCCGGGGATACAGAAGCAGAAATTCCAAGAGAAAGGTCCCAAAAGCTCTGGCTGAGAGCTCACAGCCTCTCAGCCTCACAGCAATCAGAAGGAAAACAGCCCTGAAGTTTTCAAAGAATTATCTGAGGGAGGATAGCACTACAGATCCATGGACCTACAGCTGAAATATCTTCAAGCCTTGGCTGGTAGGTCTACTCGGTACCCAGATGCATTTGGAATCGGTAGTAGGTCCCACACCGATGAGGCATAGATAGTAAACAGCCTGGGAGAAGTTAAATAGGGTTTTTCCTACAGAGAAAGTTTAGTTAATCAAAATCAGGTACCAGTCCATTGAGGACTAGACTAAGAAAGCCTTGAAGTTAACAAAATGAAGTTCAACAGTGACAAATTTAACTAAATTAACAAAATGAAGTTCAACAGTGACAAATGCAAGATACTCCACTTTG